TCATCGTGGACATTGGCCTTTACTCTCTAGGCGGGCGTCTCACCAATTCGACCACCGGGGCATGTGGTAATATTTGTCGCAATAACAGTGTACAGATGACATCCTCGCGTATGTTTGCCGACTTTAAAACAAAATTAAGTTGCAAAACTTTTAATTGCTTTCGGAAACTGACGGTTGGGACGCGGTTTCGACCCCGTTGGCGTCGACTCGACGTTGATTCAACATTCGTGTTCTCACTGGGGTTCTACGTTTCTCGGATGGAATCTCTCGCGCGGATCTGCGCGGGGTATCGATGAGAGGACCAAGGGAAAGATACCACATATAGGAGAGCTCTTCCGCACGTCCCAGACGATCACGTTGCCGTCGTCCCGGCCGCCGAGGCTCACGAGGAAGTCGCTGTTGCAGGTGAAGCACAGGTCGACGACGCCGACCTTGTGCGTCTCATAGCTGTCCTTCATCGTGCCCTCCTTGTAATTCCACACGATCACCATGGCCTGTGACACGAACACCACGACGTGACTGATGAAATATAATTGAGTCACATATTAAGAACGTGTATGCACCTTGAAGCCGAGATGATTATTCTGGCCGGAAGCGACGTATTCGCCGCACGGAGAAACGCACAACGTCGAGACATTGTTCGTGTGGCCGCTGAGGAATCGTTGCTCGCCGCTTTCGATGTCCCTTATGGCGACCTTGTAACCCATCGGATAGAGGAGATGCTTCTCGTCTGGATGCAGTCGCAGAGCGTTCTTCGTTATGCCTTAAAAAAAATGAAGAGATGTGTAAAATTGTTAAGTGCGTAACTTGGAGGAAATGCAGAGTAATATATAGTATTGTATGTGGAAATATACGTGGGAATTAGATGTAAAGTTCGCGCTTCGAGAATTTAAATTTAGCAGAGAATCGTTTCCGGAATTTCAGAAATTTAAAACTCGACCGGAAGCTCACGCTCCTCGGCTGTGTGTGAACCAGATCTAACACGCTCGATCAATCTTGTCAATTTTATGCTTGTCATTAATCCGTTGTCGAATTAAATTCAGTCAGTGACTTATGTTAAACTCGCTGTACGAAATGAGGCAACAAAAGATGAGGTAGAAAACGCTGCTTTCCGCACGAACCGTCGAACGTGATTATTCCGATCGTCTCGAGATCCCGGGGCTCCATGGTGCTGCGTTCATCAACTTTACGACAAATGTATACGGCGTAAGCTGCGTAATAGCGGAAGCAACGTAAACAGCGTGTCACCGTGGTGATAAATTGATTGTTTACGCACCCTGTACACCCTCAACCCCTTGGTAGCGATGTGTGATCATCTTCGGCTTTTTGAACGAGGTACAAAAAAGTGCCGAGTGCACGCGTCAATTTAATGCAAAGAAATTATTGAACGAAACAATGTTTTTTTTTTAATAATTATGGAGCCTAACAATAGTATAACAACAGCATGACCATGGATAAAAGCTTTGAAAAATCGTAGGGTGCGCTTTGACAATATGAAAATTTGCAAAATATTTAAAAACATCAAAAATAGATCATACTTGTAAATTGACTCGATGTTTTTTTTATATGAAATTATATTTGCGGCTCTCGATATTACAGTTCTCGTCTATGTCGATCAGCCTTCTGTTGCGACCGCAATACCAGAGAGGACGTTGGTGCGCGTATTTTTTGAATGTGTATACGCAGTCGTGACACATTAATTAATGCACTCAAATAATCTTCAATTATAATTAAACCAATCAAGATTAATTTGACAGATTAAGAAACGAGATAACCGCAATAAAAAATAAACCTGTCTCAATAAGATTCAATGATAGCGCGTATCTCTTCTTTAGGCTTCAGAAACTTTGTGCTCTCAGCGACTTAATTATTTCTTATTCATTAATTTGTTAATTGTTTATATTTGTTGATTCCATATTAACATCTATATTGGTGCAGCCTCTGTATAAAATTGAAAAGTACTATATTGTAAGGGAATTGTAGATTTACGCGGATAACAAAAGCGTATAATTGTTTTAATTATTAACCATTCGTCGCTTGGAGAACTTGACGGATCGTCGCGACCGACTCCATTCTTGACCGCGAAACGATTAAAGTATCGTTTCGCTCTGGAAAATGCATCCACTCGTGTCCCATTCGGCGACCTTGCGTTCAGCTCGAAACGAGATTATTAGCATCGATACCGCGATCGGTATCTAGCCGGTGTAAAAAAACTGGAGTCGCGTGAATCAGAATTTATATGCGAGGACCCGAGGGCGTTGCGACGTCGGCGCGTTCGCCATGTGATCGCTACGTGAAGAGAATTTCCTCAGGCCCGGCGATTACGGAGGACGAGTAGTTTCCGTGCCGAAGGCCGAAGTGTCCCGTTCAAGGTGATCCTTGTTTCCAGTGCGCGCCGTGAAGCCGACGTCGTTTCCGGCGTGCGACAGGAAAGTGGATATTTCGCAGGTTTCGCAAAATAAACTGGATCTTATCCCGCGAGTTGGTTCAATTTTAGGAATGTCTTCGGAGTAACGTCCTTCTTCTGCAACGTAGAGTATAGAATCGTAAAAGACGCGCGTCTCCAGATGGCACAGAGAATCTTTGTGAATTCTCGAACGAAATGCATTCTCTTTCCATTCCATTTCTGTTAAAAAAATATTCTTAGAAATTCTGTTCTAAAGTTGGAAAAAATTCGCTTTTATGTTGCCAATTTTTAGCTCTTCTTTTAATACAAAAGAAATTCATTTTAACACAAATAGTAAAGATATACCCCAGTGGCACAGTGCATTGGCTAAACATTGGCTAAATATTGGTCCAATGTTGGTTATATTAGAAATGCATTGGCTGATATTGTCCAACGTAAAGCCAATATATTGGCCATGGAATGAATGCTAAATGTTGCGCGATAATAATTATATGATACTAAATTTATATTGGAAGTGCATTGGCCAATATTTAACAATGTAATAAGAAAATTGGTCCAATATTGATACAATATTGAACCAACATTGGACCAATATTTAGCCAATGTTTAGCCAATGCACTGTGCCACTAGGGTATATCTTTATTGCTAAATAGACATATTGGTTAAATAAGAGAAGGCGTTTATCTCACAATATTGGACCAATATTGGGAAAACTAGATTTACAATATTTCCCAATATTGCGCCAATATATTGTGCTACTATAGGAGTAAATCTAATATCCCCAATATTGGTCCAATATTGTAAGATAGCATGTATGTCTAAGAGACATCTTTAAGACGCCATTAAGGGCCTGAGCAGAATGGATGTCTTGTACTCTTAAGACAGCCTTTAAGACAATGTTTTATGTTTCAAGCCTTTGTCTTGAGGTGACGCATAATAACTGTTTTATGTCTTAAGAGTACGAGACAGCCATTCTGCTCAGGCCCTAAGTTGTCTTTTAGACACGTATGTACGTCTAAAAGTTGTCTTAAAGATATCTTCGTGATGTCTTTTAGACATGTATTGCTATTTGGGATACGCCTCCTGTTATTTAGCCAATATGTCTATTTAGCAATATTGGTCTAATATTGTATCAATAATAGACTAATATTCCTATTACATTGTTAAATATTGGTCAGTGCGCTTTCAATATAAATTTAATATTATATAATTATTATATCGCGATATTTGCATTTACGTGGCCAACATTGGCTTTACACTGGGAAATACTGGCCAAATGCATTTTCAATATTGGACCAATGTTTAGCCAATGCGCTGTGCTACTACGGCACTTTACACGGTCGGGCTGGATCTTTCTCGTATTTTGCGATTACATTTTTTCGGTATACCGCAATGGAGTTCTTTAAAAAAAAAATTCTTCGGAAAGGAGTTAATTTTGAACAGATCACGCTATTTCATGAAGAATTTTAAAGGGTGAATCCTTCTTGCATTCCTACACGATCACCCGTGCTGTTTTGGTCCCCATCGTTCCTCGCCGTCCGGAAATTCGGATAATCTCGCGGAAAACGTTCGCGCGGGTCGCGCGTCCGGAACCGGAAAACAGGTGCGGTGCGCGTTTCAAAATCGTTTCGTGCTCGTTTCGAAACACATTGCCGTGACGCGTTTTGTCGAAGTAGAGAATAAGTAATTGACGTGTCCCCCCTCCGTCATCGACCGACGCGTTATCGCCGCGTGTCGACGTGAGAGGTTCAACGGCTGCCGGGGGAAAACAGCACGGGAGGAGCTGGCCCTAGTATTCCTCTCAAAAACGCCGGCGCGAGCGTGCACGCGACCGCTTCACGGCCGAGACCGAACTTATCACCTCCTTGCCGCTCTTGCCTTGAGTTTCTCTCTCGTTCCCCACCCTGGATAAATGCGCGACGAGCAGTACATGCAGATATAAAAGCGAAGTTAACGAGGGTGTCGGGTCCAGTCGCTCGCGACACGTGTGTATACGTTTCGGCGGGGCCGAGAGGCGGAAGAAGGTCCATCCTGTTCGCGGCTCGGTTGGCCTTGCATCGGACTCCCCTGAGCTCCTTGCGGCGGCCCTTCAAGGCGAAAGGCCGATTTCGAGCAGGGAGGATCAAGAGGCGCGAAGAGAATCCTCTTCGCCCCTCCGGGCTTCAGCGATTAGGAAAGAGGAGACTATCATCGGCGCGTCGTGTTCTCCAAGGATAACAGATTCCCCCTAGGATGATCCCCGTGTGGAAAGAGTGCTGTAAGTACGATCTCACGTCGCGATCTCGCGCACACGAGTCTCTCGCCTCGCACGTCTCCCTCCGCGGACTTGTCGGCGGATTAAACGTCCGGACGATTTCTTTATTCATCGATTCGCGGGTTCCGAGCGGTTTGCTGATCAACGATTCCATCGATCGTCACGATCTTTGCGGTCGCGCATGCGAACGCGAGTAATTTGCTTTCGATATCAGAAGCTGGCTGTCAAGTGCACCACCGAAGCCGAACGTAGAGGAAAGAAACGTTGATATTTAGAACGCAAATGAAGAAAAGAAAATCGTTGGACAATATTGTTGAGCATTGCTAGTTGTTTCGCAATCTCTCGAGTGGCTGATACGGCGAAGCTATCGCGATGAGTGAATAATCTGAAAAATCAATTGCTACGTTGACTGCCAAATATTCCCAGATAGCACGGAGGACCCGAAAAAATTCCTGTACTCCCGAATTACGAAACCAACTCTTTTTCCACGTCTTCGAACGTTCAGAAAGAATTTTATGTCACCAATTCCGAATTCTTTTTCGAATACAAAAGGAATACTTTACATTCGGAGCAACTTTAATTTAAATCACTTCGATTTAATTCTATAACTTTAATTTACTTTCACCAGGAGACTTTCCTTTTTGCATTAATGGAAAAGAATTCTTTTAGATTCATTTTGAACAGACTGCACTGATTCATAAAGAATTCTTTTTAATGAATCCCTTGTGAGTTCGTAGCGAACGTCTATTGCGGGGTCTACAATGCGAGTCGCAGAGTCGTAGTCGTAAGAATAGTCGACTATGATTGGTCAATTCTTATGTGTCCAACGGAATTGACCAATCGCAGTCGATTATTCTTACGACTACGACTCTGCGACTTTCATTGTAGACCCCGCATGAGTATTTGAGTTAGCGACCGTCGTTGACAATCTATAGATGTGCATTCGTTTCGAATTTTTCGAGGGGAAGATAACAATTTCACTATGAGTTTTTAAGAGTAAATCATTAATTCGTTCCGAATTTTTCGAGGGGAAAATAACAATTTCACTATGAGTTTTTAAGAGTAAATCATTAATTGGCATATTAATATGCTCATATGAAAATGGCATTGGAAACAATGCGTTATCTACTGCAACAGTGTCAACGTGTTAGAATGCGAAAACAGAATTGCGCGCACCGTAGTTTCCTGGAAACCGTATCTCTTCGACGGGAACGCGGTCGCAGGTGGCAACCGCAATTCTCGGCGTCTTCGCATTTCTTCTTTTATTTCAATAAAGGAAACTGATAACAATAATCTTTAATGCTAACGTGCAAAATCAATAAGTTTCCTAGCTACAAGAGACGTAATGAAACGCGAGAGAGAGAGAGGAAGAATTGTAAGTTACGTTTGCCCTCCGCAAAGATTATGGAACACCAGAAATCCCAACCGAACCAACGAGAGCAGAAAGGGGACATTTTAGTCGAACTTGAGTTAACAATGAATCTTCGTTCTGGAATGGAAGTAAAATATTAAAAAACATTATTTTAAGCTTTAACGGATCCTCTAGGCCCGGTTTCACCAACGTTGTTTAACTTTAAGCTTAGCTTAATTCGTTCTTTGCCTCTTTTCAACTGTTACTTTAGCAAGAGACACATATGAGTTAAACTAAGACTAAAGTTAAACGACGTTTGGTGAAACCGGGCCTCAGTCTTTGTGGCAAAGTAGCACAAGTCCCACTGAAAAATTCATATCACGCTTGCAAAACGGTTTTTTTGTTTCTCCGAAGTATGATTTCGCCACGTGTATTCTTTCTGTTCTAATCGATTTTTGCTAAATGCTGCCGCCGCGATCCGCTGGCTTTCACGTACGTCCGATCGCGGGAAGTGCCTTGACATTAATTGCAATCCGTTCGTTTGCCTAGATCACTTCCTGACGTTCACGCGCGATAGAACGCGCGGGGGTGCCACGGTACCCGTCGAGAATTAAGGCTGGTTTATGCAAGGCCGTAACCGTTAACTTATGCAGGAATCGGTAAAAATTGTCCAATCACCGTTAAAAGTGAAGAGAATAATTGACTGTAATTGGTTAATTTTTACCGATTCCGACATAAGTTAACGGGTACGGCCTTGCATAAACCAGCCTTTAATCGTTCCCTTCGACCGGATCGGAAACGATTGCGAAAACCGATCGACTCTCTCGAAGAGTCGAAGGCGCAAAAAGCTACCGGGAAAGGCGCAAAGAAATCCCGGAAACGTACCGATCATTGTTTCCGTCGATTTTTCTGCCTCCACCCTCCTTTCTCTTTCTTTCCCCCCTCGCGAACCTTGACAGAGGCGCGACCGCGTGACGGATCGGCTTCCGGAAATCGAACGCTCGTATCACATTCCTCCGCGGAGATCTCGCATTTTTCTTTCGCATTCCACACGTAGCGAAGGCACGTGAGGCACGAGCGGCGAACGTCCACTCTTGCTTATGTGACATCCGTGAATCACGCGTTCATTACGAGACTTCGGTGAAACGAGGCCTGATTACAGATCTCTCGCGCGAGTGGCTGTATACATATATTAGGCTGGGCAAAAAGTTCTCCTGTCTTTTTTTCCTAACAAGTGGCTTTTGTCAAGCATAACGCGATTATGTATTCAACGAGAACGTAATGATGAGGCCGCCTGAAAGATGGCGGGCAATGATCGAAGAGAAACGTTCGGTTTCCTGAAGTTTTAATGTTAAGCTTCATTTTGAATTTCCTCGAAATAGAGGCAATAAGACTCTCTTTGTCCAACCATACGCGAAGAGTGGCTCGTAAAAGATCTGAATCTCACGCGGAGGAAGCCTTTGATATTCCTGTCATCTTAAAATATAAAGCTTTAGTGTTAAAAAATTCAATTTAACACAGCTTTTGAAATGAGAATTTTGCACAATGGATTATAAATCTATCTTTGCACGTTGTAATTCTAATTGCGCTTATATTTTCGAGGATGATTCAAACAGAACTCGGAGGATCAATATTATATTTTAATCGCAACTCAATGAGCCAACACGGCGCGTAACTTCCGCGTAAGGTTGATGGCAGAGACGTCCTAGATGTAAGGCAAGGCAGAGAGAAACGTAAATCTTGTACAACAGCCTTTTATGATTTACGTTTCTCTCTGCCTTGCCTTACATCTACGACTAAGACAGTCTTAGGTCTGATTTCACCAACATTGTTTAACTTTAAGCTTAGCTTACCTCGTTCGTTGTCTCTTTCCAGCTGTTACTTTAGAAAGAGACAAACGTGAATTAAACTAATATTAAAGATAAGCGACGTTTGGTGAAACCGGGCCTAAGCGTCCACGGATCGCTCTCTGCCTTACGGAGGTTACGCGCCCATGATGTTGGCTCATTATTCAACAAGTTGCGATTAAAATGTAATATTGATCCTCCGAGTTCTGTTCGAATCGTCTTCGACAAGACGGTCTTAAGCGTTTACGAATGGTTCTCTGCCACCAGCCTAAAACTCTTCGATTTCCGTCATAAATATTCGAAATATTACATTTTTTTACTGTGCATCAGAAAAAGGAGCAATTTAACCGTAAAGTAAATCAAATAGGTTTCGGCTTTCGCGGGGACCCGCACTTTTCGTTACCCTTTTCTTCCTGACGCAGGAAAATTACGCGACCGATTATCTGTAAACGCCGACGATTTCGCGTTCGCACAAAGTAAGTGCAACAATAATTTCCGCGCCACACGTTTGCACAGTAGTTACTTACGTACGTTAATTGGCGGCCGCTTAATGACCATCGTTCATTCGCCAATAACTCCGCGGGGCTGATTACAGAAATTAAGTCGCGAGCGTGGCGGAAACGCGAGCGTCTCGTTATCTTCTCGACAGATCAATGTCGAAACAGTTAGGACCAGATTCACAAACGTCGGTTAGCTGCTAACCGAAGGTCAATTGATTCTCTGTCACTTCTTAAACGATAAGACGGAGCAAGTTGGAAAGTCGACTGAACTCTGGGTTAACAGTTGACCGACGTTTGTGAAACTCACCCTTAAATTACGGTAATAAAATGTGAGAGGAGGAAAAGGACGAGGGGGCGAGCGAGAATATTATCGGTAAGCCTTTGTCTCTTCGGGCATGTATTTCTCGCGAGATAAGATAGTGCTCGGAGGTAAGCCGGATCGGCATTCTTCGCAGGCAATGTCAAGCGAAAAGCAATTGTCATACGGTGTCAACCAGCACTGTCAGTCGCGGTAAAGTGACAATCCATTTTTGCACGCTACATTACACACGTTGCCGTAAAATTCCAGCTTATTAGTTAACAGCAGCAAGGCCGTGTCGGTATCGAGAAACGCGACTTACCCATTGTGAGCAGCCGTTCACGCCTTAACAAATCGAAGGTTTCGCTCGGAAAAACGGTTTATCCGCCGGAAAAGAAAAGACGGTGGGGAGAGATTCGCGGCTTATTGCACTTTATTGCGTTTTATCATGATCACCCAGACAGCGTATAGGTGAACGTAAGCTCGTAGAGAATTCATTTGAAGGAAAATACCTGCGGAATTAGAAAACTGAATGTCTGAAGAATTCTTGAAGAATCGGCCACAATCGGTGCCGTCTTGAAGTATTCGTCAGAAGTTCATTATGGTGCATGTAACTTCCCCAATCATTCTTAGGGTTGGGTAGTGTCTAGTCAAAAAGATAAGAGTTAAAAGTTAAATAATCTTAACTTAACTTTTAAGTCAACCAATTTCATTATGGGTTAACTTGTATCTTAGCAAAGTTAAATTTTCAAAGCGGTTAACTTTAATTTAACTTACCAAAGAAAAAAAGATAGCTTACCCAACCCTGACTTTTATTGTATTCTTCTGTGAATTCCTGAGGAATTACCATTCAGAAAGGCAGAAAACTGCGAATTTATTGTACCATCTGGGTAATCGCGTGATTATGTTGCACTTGCTGCAGAGAGGCATTCCAAACGGCGCGATAAGGGAAAATTTTACAGAGAGAGTCCTATTGAATCAGTATCTGTCAAATATAATACGACCGTAAAGGGTTTATCTGACCGATAAACCTGGCACTCATGGCGCTCGATCGAGCGTCGGGCTTTCTTCGAAGCCCTTATCACAATTTTTATTTTATTTCCATTTGACGCGTTGAAGTGCCGAGTCGACGTTACCGCGGGACTATTTATTATTATTTTATTAACGATATTATTTTCACGCGACGTAACTTCTGGGAGGAGATAACGGATGGATGTCATTCTTTTATATCAGAACCGTTAGCAGACAATGATGTCACAGGCTCGTGTTATAGATCATAAACAATGCGATACTTTTGTTCTTTGGCTCCGAATCGAAAGACTTTTATCGTCAGGGAATTGAAAATTTTGGATTACGAAGTTGTAAACAATAATGTACGATATACATATTTCGAATTGAAGTCAAAATGTCAAAAATTTCTTAACCAATGTAGGAAAATTAATAAACGCCGGAACTAGCAAATTCTAATTGAAGAAATTTATTGCGAAAAAATATTACCTCGGCCATTTTTCTCGCTAAATTTCTTTAATTACAATTTGCCAGTTGTGTCGTTTATTAATTTTCCTACATTGGTTATTCACTGGCGACAACAAGACCTTTATTCTTGTCATTCGAAAAAAATTTTTTTTAAATATTTCTAAACGACCGCATTGCTTATAGGATAATCCAATGTCTCTGAGAAGTTTTCGACAGGCTAGCCGGTCGCGATCTTTTTTTACGGAAGTTTTACTCGCGAGGTCGATCGTCGAGATCGATTGACGCAGATGCGTTTTATCCTGCTTACCCGGGCACGTAAGCGAACTCTCGCGTGTGCATGTGCAGCACGTTCGCGTAAGCTTCACGGATGGACGCGCGATACACGGGAATCATGCGGCGCGAGCGTGTGCCGCGAAATTTGATCGCGCGCCCGCGCGTCCCGGCCTTTTCGTAAATTAAGAGAGCTTGCGTGACGACGCGACGATGCGAAGTACGTATCGGGTTATTCCCCGACGCCACTCGTTCGCTTATGTCTACTAGACTCCTGAATAAAGCAGAGATGCGTCACTCATGTTTGATACATGAAATCCGCTATTTTCGTTTCTACTTTCGTCTTCTTTCCAGGTTGCTAGAAGAAGTAGGAACCAAAATGACGGCCTGAATGTGTCGAACGTGAATGACGCTATCTCTACACTGAGAAAAATGTCCGATTAAATGTAATCGGATAATCTAATTACATGATAACAAACGGATATGTCCGATTAAATTGTATATCCGATGAAAAATTTGATCGGTTTTTCAATCAAATTTCATCGGTAATTGCATTTCATCGGATAAATTTCATTGGATATATCCATAATTTAATCGGAAAACGTAATCGGAAAAATTAACCATCGGACATATTATTTAATTGGTTTATCCGATGAAAATTTTTCTCAGTGTATTTATCTACACGGGGAGGGAATTTTCTTTTAAAATTTATCCTGAAAATCAATGCTATAAGTAGAATGTATGGTAAAATTTCAAAAAACTCTCGTAAAATTCGTCAAATTGCCACGTTGTTCCACGATTACATGATTTTCAGGATAAATTTTAAGAGAAAATTCTCTCCGTGTAGGGCTGGTATTCACAGATCATTCTTGTACTTGAGATCCTCTTAAGTACAACTTTAAGGTGTCATAAACTAATCACATTATAGCCGTATCGGCATCTTAAGACATTACTTAAGACGGTCTTGGAATAAAAACGAACTATAAATATCGGCCTAGGACTCTAGTCTACTTAAAGCGACATCAATTTCATGCAGGCTCTTTATGAATCCAGTTTATGAGTCGTAAGCAGAGAGGAAGAAGAAGATTCATGACAGCACGCTACCACGAGCATATATACATAGAGAAATCGAAGCAAGATTCATGGAGCTACCTCCTTGCTCACTTGACTCTCCGCGACTACGATCGCACGAGAGTTTTTTTGAGAGATTTACCACAGAGTACGGAGAATCCAAAGAGAAATTTTTATAATTCCGACTTATAAAATCAATCCTTTTTCGATTTCTCTGTTAAAAACATTCTTACGAACTCGAGGAGAGTTTTTATGTCTAACAATAAGGAAAATAGATATCGAAGGCAATGGAAATCCCATTAGCACAGTGCATTGACCAAACATTGGTTAAACATTGGCCCAACATTTGGTTGTATTGGGTCAATGTTTAGCCAGTGCACTGTGCTATTAGGGAATCAGTCCACAGACGTTTGGTGAAGTCATATGTTTAAAAAAATTAAAAGTGCGTAAAAACTTCAACCTCTCGGTCATTGACATTGACCCTCTTCAGGAAGCGATAGTAAAGAAGATCAAATTTAATGACCGAAACGTTTGAGTATTGTATACACACTTTACTTTTTTAAATATATGACTCACCAGACATCTAGGACTGACTCCCATTGCCTTCGATATCTATTATTCTTAGTTTTAACACTGGAGCCTGTTACATCTTGTGATGTGAATTTTATGTCATCAATTCTAAGCAGTTTTCAAATACAGAAGACATTCTTTTTCCAATTTTTTTAAATTTAATTTAACACCGTAAGAAGTCAAAAGGTATATTTCTATAGAATCCCTTTTGGACTATCGGAAATCCTTTCGAGTTTATTTCGAATAGAGAGAGAAAAATTAAAAAATGTTTCGGACAAAAGTTGTTCCAATTAATTAATAGAAAAAGATGATGTAATGAAAAATGCAAGTTTCCATTTAAAAAATTCAAGATTACCTTTATGTAACCTTCAAACGACTATCCAAGGTCAAACCAATGATACCATCTTATGTCCCCTTTAAAACCATATAATGTCTCAACCATTTGTTTCTAAAATGCATAGTTTTGGAAAAATTTAGGAGTTTCCACACTTTTTCTTCACTCTGTATAACGATCGGTACCTCTAACCTTTTCGTACCTTTTATAAATTCACGGTATACTTTTCAGGAGTACAAGTGGTTAGGTACGTATCTCCTAAAGTAGTACGAGATACAATGTACCTCTAAATGTCTGTCTCCATGCCAACGAAAGATAGCTTTTGTTATTATCTCCCTCGTCGTGTCACACTTGCGTGATCGCGTCGGTTAAAGACACGAGGTGCATATTACGCACATTATGGAGTCGTTTTGTAATACAGATATTCGAGGCACTTTTCGTGGCCAGTGGCCAGGAATCGTGCGAATGTACGAAGTACATTCGCAAATTACATAATGTGGATCAATCTTGCGTTTTATTTCTACATTGTGAGCATCCACCAACAAGACATGTTTCTGTGACGTGTTTCTCCTCAAAATAAGACTCCTAATTTCGAGATACTATCTTCCCTCCTATTTTGGTGGATCTTTATGTACCTCATAATTACGCATACTTTTTATTTTAACGTGTGCCTCCAATTTTTGGCGGTACGGAGGAGGTCACTGCACTGCGTGGGCGTTTCTTCTATGGCTCGTATGGGGGTCGAGAAAATTTTGCACGCTCGATCCTCATCCGCGGAGACGTTAGTGTTTACAAGACGTATCGTATACGGTATAAATTAAACAATCGGAACAATTAAATCGCGCTCACCGTATCTTTGTAGAACGCGTTTTATCGTAGAATTTAATATCGACTTTGGATTAATGAGTAAATAGAAGATAAACGCAGAAGAAGTACGTGCGCTGGAATTAGAGATATCCTCTTTTGCCGTGGATCGCCGACGACATTTTCGACGACGTTTATCCGCTTGTCCGTCCATCAGTGGTACACTGAAAAAAATAACCAATTAAATATAATCGGATAATCCAATTACATAATAACAAACGGATATATCCAATTAAATTGTATATCCGATGAAAAATATGATCGGTTTTTCAATCAAATTTCATCGGTAACTGTATTTCATCGGATAAATTTTATCGGATGTATCCATAATTTAATCGGAACACGTAATCGGAAAAATTAACCATCGGAAACGCTATTTAATTGGTTTATCCGATGGAAATTTTTCTCAGTGTAGTGGCACATGCAAATCGCAGCATTATCAAATCGAATGGAATATCGAATGACTTAAGCCAACGGCACATGATACCATTTTTCCTACTGGATTGCTTACGAGAGCCAATCAGGGTTTAGCCTTAAGTCACCTGATCGAAAACTCCGCATCCTGATTGGCTCTCGTAAGCAATCCGGTAGGAAAAAATAGTATCGCGTGCCGTTGTTGGCACTTAAATCGTGGGCTGGTTCAAATCGCCAAGTTCTCCGTCGCGACGACGAAGTGCGCAACTTCGCACAAGTCCGACGATAGCGTCTATTTCCCCGCGATTCCCCCCTTCCCTCCCCCCGCCCGTTAAACGCGGCAAGTAAATCCCGCGGATTCCGGGCATCGCGCGCGATTCGTGCGGTCTCCGGAGCCCTCGGGATCATTACGACAGCGCGTCGTAAATCACCGTTGTTATGCGTGTGTCGCGGGCTTACTTTCCGCCGATTCACACCTCCGCAGAAGCAGTCGACGGCGGCGATATCGCGGCAGATACGTCGGATCCGATAATAATCTTTCGATTGCGCTTTGTTCCGTTCGAGCCCGGGGGAGAGGGGGAGGGAGAGGGGNGGGGAATGAAAAAATTGCNCAT